AAGTAAAATGAATTGTCTTAGCTGTATCTATAATAACTATAACTACAAAGTCAACAATTGTACTTATATAGTAGTAATGTAGAGTTATAATCAATATTGGTGTAAAAATCAGAAAAGAACTGTGAGGATGATTTTCCTAGTCAATAAGGGTTGTTCCATTAGCTTGATTAGCTGTGATCTGAGAGCTATTTTTGTGAGTTCTGAGCTACACATAAGCAGTGGAATGTAACCTTTAGATTATAGATACTAGATAGTGTTATTTAAATTCAAGCTGTTACTATTGATTTTGGTTTGTTTCTGTATGTCATGAATAATGTCTCTAAATGCACTTTCAGAGAAATATTCAGCATCACCAAACATGATCTTCCACAGTGCCATCATCATCCAAAGAGCTAGGCTACTGGCAGAAGTTACGGATTTTATGTAAGGCATCCAGGTTTTTCAGAGTTTTGTGAAAAAGACCATTTAAAAGCTAAGCCTTTTGAGTAGCCTAATAATATAATTGAAATACATAAAATAAAGCAGAACACTGCATACACTTCTTGGAACCTACTATACTTCTCACATAATAAACTTTCTTTAATTATAGTGGTCTGCTGGATGTTAGGCACAGTTGTTCTGATGCAACATCCTGTTCCTAGCTATTCTTATCTCCTCTCAGGAATACATGTTGTTAGATTCATTTGTTCACTAGAACACCCTGTCATGCTAACTGCTGTAGCACAAGTTCTGTCACAGTGTTGACAGGTAACTTTTTTGTCTGGCTGAAATACTAAATATAAAGAGAAAAATTATATCTCATTTAGCGTTGGATAAGGCTGAAGGCTTTAATAATAATAAAAAAGTTTACAGTACTTACTCTAGCATCAATTTCTTCTCCAGCTCTGCTAAACTCTCTGCCAGTTTACTAAATGAATCATTCTTTCATATTGTGATATATTCTCTCAGAAATTTCTCAGAAATTTTTGGTCAATAACTACTAAAACTCTCCAGTTTTTGATTCCTTAAGACCAGAAGTGTTTAACATTGTTTGACAGGTATTTACCTACTAAAAAAAGAATTGTTTATAATAGTCTATTCATAGTGACTGGGGGAGCACCTTCTGTAGAAATAATCACTGCAGTTCTTTCTTTTCCTCAGTCAAAAAACAAATAAAAATGAGGAAAGGAGAATATTGTTAACAGTAGAGAAAATAAAATTGATGAGACCTTAAATTACATAGCATTTAGAGCAGATATGCCTTACAACATATTTGAAATCATGTGCTCTCTGATATCACAGATTCAGTCAATTCCAAACCCCATAATAAAATAAATATATTCTGAGTCCCCTTGGGAACAAGATGTCTTGTAGAAATTATTGTATAGTGTACCAGATGGCATCTTTCTTGCAGACATCACTTTGCTGTGCTGCTTCTATTGCCTTGGAGAAGGAAGAACCAAGTGCTGCTATCTCTGTAAGAGACTTATATGTCAGTTTTCCCACGCAGGAAAGGGTACATCTTTTTTGATTGTGGTATCACAGAAGGATTATCATGGGATTTATGTCCTTTGAAATCATAGGGAAGCACATCAATATGTAGGTGTGTAGCAGGTAAGACAGTCCCATACAGTCAGTTTTTCAATGTCAGGACCAGCTTTAGGAATAGGCAAAGAAGGCACTTCCTGCAGCAGCACACTGGTGGGGCTGGCACTGAGTCATAGACTAGCAAAATTAAGAGGTGGTCTTTTAGTCTCAAAGCAGTAGCTTCTGCTCTATGTTCCAATTGCACTGGCTCAGAAAAACTGTCCAAGCAACCCCCTGAGGTAAGTCACCTGAACTGGCTAAAAATTCGGAGATCCAAAGAGCTGCAAGTTCCCTAATACAAACATTCCTATCTCTGTTCTGTTCTGTTCTTTGCCTTTGCCTTGCTACAACCTTTGGCTGAAGAAGGAGCAAAAAAGTCTTGCAGATAACAGGATGCTTCTGCAATAGGACAATAGTCAGGGATGAGGACTAGGCAGCAAGCTGACTGTATTTCTCCTTAGTCTCTTTCCCCTTACTGAGCAACCTTACGTTGTGTTGATGGATTCAGATGTTGAGTTATACTGGCAAAGGACAGACTTGGAGGAGAGTGTGCACTGGGACGAGCAGTGCTATAATCATCCAGTGCTGGAGCCATGGAGATAGTTAGACACAGTACCAACAGCTACATGAGGAAATGTGTCTAGGGAGCCACTCAAAAACTGAATTTTGCCTACACTGTTGCTAGGCATAGAGCCAAGCACTTCTCATCACTGGCAGCATAACTTCCATGCTGTATAGTAAGGTAAGGAAGAAGTGGTTTGACCATGAAACTAATATAGTGATTATTGTCTGTGCCTTATTGAGGGCAGAAAATTTTTGTTAGTGGGTGACACTGTGCAGAGACATTTGTGTCTATGCATGTATAGGAAATACAGGCACCAGTCATGTATAATCCTTTCAAGGGGATTATGCTTCACTAGATCTCTTTCCAATATCAGTTTTTCTGCTTGTGGGGGAAAGGGAAAGAAAATCTGGAATTTTTTTCAAAGAAGTTTATGATTTCTCAGTCAACTAAGAACAATTCAGAAAGTATTTAATTCTCATCTTATTTAAGATAACTTTCTTCTCAGATTGCCCTCTGAAGATCTTTTCCAGGCTCTCAAATTTGCCTATTCAAGGGAAGTCCGCTATATATCAACTCAACATAGCCTACCTTTCTCCTTGCTACTGACTGGGTACACCCTACATACAAAGGTATTGATTCACAGTAGAAAAAACTCTGCAAAATAGGGATGATTTCCGGACAGGTGTGAACAAATGCATTTGGATCTCCATAAGACATAGACTCCTATAAATTTGGTATACCTACTTTTTCTGAGAAGAAATTAATTATCCATTAGTTTATTTGAAGTACATTTAGCTAGTAGAAAACTCCCAAAAGTTTCTTCAGCAATTTCAGATTTACCAGTGCTGGATAAGTGTTCAGTATTTTTTTTAAAAGATCTAGTAAACCATTGATACTTTGTGTAGTAAATGTATCAAATATGTAATATCTGGAGTAACATAAGATCTCATAATGGACTTATTTTAGGCAACTTTCCAACCTCATGGAAAATCTTCTGTGGCTCAACTAAAATTGTTCTACAAAACATTATGGACTTCAGTTCGCATGAGTTGTTTCACAAATCCAAGCAGCAATGTCAGAGTGAGAGGTCATCCAGTTTTAGTCCAAGGACTAATCAGATTGGAGTTGAAATTCTTTATAATATTGTTAATTCTAAATATCCTGCTGTATTTCAAATTTGTTCTGTGATTGGTCAGGGATTCTCTGCATGGCACTTGCAGAGACTTTGTATTCTAACATAGTGGTCAGACTGTAGGTTTGGATTTCTATGAAACAGTTATCTGCTATATCTGCCATCATCAGTCCCAAATGATGCCCTTGACAGATACCTATAATTTGCTTATGCCTGGAATTAAATTTCTCCTTAGAGATGGTCATTCCTCAAGATTCACAATGGACAAGAAAAACAAAAAAAAATAATTATGTGTTTAATAAATGAAGCTCTGCTGAACAGGGTTCCACTTAGAATTTTATCCTGAATATACCCATTTTCTGCCTGTTTTGCTAAATCCTTTCATCCTGTTGTGACAAGCAAAAGTTCAGCACGCATTCCTTTCAGAACAAAGGAATAAAATATTTCCATTTCGAGAAAAACTGTCTCAAAAATGGAATGTAGATAGAAAATACATCATGAGACTTTTGGTTTCTTTTGCAGAAAATGAACTTTGCTTTCATTTAAAATTCATCACCTTTTTTTCAGTTATAGTTGATAAAATATACATCCTCTCTAGAAATCATGCAAATCTTATATGTGTGCTTGCTATCATTCACATTTTTTCAAGAAAGGATATAAATTTGCAATTTTATTTAGCAGGAACATTCTTTTAATTATTCATTTCAAATGGTGACCTTTTCAAGTTGAATTATTGTATGTCGGCATGAAGGTTTCCTTGTGTCTTATAATATTTTATGGTTGAAGAAATCATGCAGATAATCTAATTACTTTGACTGAAATTGTTGTGCCATTTATGTGTTTTGCTGTACTATAGCAGAGAAACTGAAATGTATTCATTATTGATTCATTAAAAGGTTTTCCTATTATACAATCAGAGGTGCAGACCACTACCTGTCTAAATTAAAAGGGGTAGGGGGAAGGCATAGTAAACCATGCCATAGGCTATGGTTTATACATTGCATTTCTTAATGTCTTGTGAAATGTAAAAATCTACAACAAACAGATATGTAAAGCATAACTGGTATGAAGATTTTATTCAGATTTAAGTGCTCTAGGTTGCTTTTGAATCTTGCTATTTTCTGCATTTGTTTTGACTGCTCTCATCATTCAAGATTGACGCTTGGATGGGTGTGTAGGAGGAAGCAGCAGCAGCAGGCTTACAGCTTGCAGACAAAAAAAATCTGCCTTATCTGATGGCTATTATTGAAAATGCGAGGTGTAGCCTAGGCTGGGTAATGAAGGGGAGCGAGCGAGGGGGAGCAAGAAGCATGGAGCTGCATACTGATGAGTGTAGGAGTACTTGATAAAAAGAATTCTTGCTGCTGGCAGTGCATTGCTCATTGTGGAGTATTCCAACAATCACATATAACGGAGAACAGCTTAGCTGACAGCTTGATATGCTTTTTTTTTTTTTTCCTGCCTGCTGTATGACGTACTGGTCTGTAGTAAAGATTAATAACTAAGAAATGTAGAGCTGCGATCAGATCTTACGCTATATACTGCCCTGAAAACTATGTTTTACTTCTGACTTTTCTGCTTGCTGGAAACATTAATCTGTCAAGCTGGCGGGCTCGTTTGATACCAACTTTTCCAGGAACACGATGTGGCAATGCCACCTCTCAGCCCAGGACTACCGCTATTATCCAGTGGATGGTTATTCGTTGCTTAAACGCCTCCCTCTTCACCCTCCTACAGGACCCCGATGCCCTGTCCAAAGCGTGGGACAATGGTTGGAAAATATTGGGCTACCTCAGTATGAAAACCACTTGCTGGCTAATGGATTTGACAATGTGCAATTCATGGTAAGAAATCTTCTGTGCATAGCTGTGTATATACACTGTAGCTCTGCCTTTTTTGTCTGTCTCCTATGTGCTCATAAAAACCTTAGAGCTATTCTGCATTGCACTGAGATCTGTTTGGTGTTTCACTTTTCTATATGTAGCTGAATTATTATATAAACTGTCCTTGTATACACTTCCAAACTGTACACGTTACAAAATATTCTAGCCTGAAATATGGTGAAATAAAAACTGAATATTAACGTTTTTCCTGTCCCTCATAAGTCTTCAGATTAAAGAAGAAAAATGCACAGTTCTTTTAATCCATTGCAGGATTTTCATGGTATGTAAAAGCTGCAAACACCTCTTTCTGCAGCACATCCCATTCTTACTTTTATTTCAACATTAACTCTTAATGATAATTAAATAACATGCAATGCCATTCTTGCCTTGAGAGGTATTTTAATAATAGAAAATTATTTAATGAAGTGTGCTCTCTATGCAAGTGATTCTGAATGTCTCAGTTAAATATTTTTGCATCTTAGATAATCAGGCTATGAGATTCACTTGTTGAAACTTATGCCCTGGGAGGAAAAGTAATGCATTCCTATTAATTGTTCCATTTTCATGTTTTAACTCTAGGCATTTATCAGGAATATTTGAATGAAATTAAATTTTAGGTACTTCAAGATTTACAGTATCACCAGGTGGTGTAAAGTAACAGAGATCTGTTATACACAAACTTTCAATTGTAATGAATATTGACAGTAAAGTGAGAAGCTTGCTTGTAGGGCTGTTATATAATCACTTTTCTACTTGCTTCAGTATTCCCATTACTTCAACCTCTTCCAAAATTCCTGACTGCATTTCTTATAAAGTACCAGACCTTAAAACGTCTTTTAAAATACCTGTTAAAGATATTTTTAGTAACTATGTATACAAGACTTCTAACTTTTTGTAACTTACACACAGCACATAAGAAACAGAAGTGAAACAGCATGAATTATGACTATAAAATCAGCACATGAGTGGTAATCTTCCTATTTAAATTATTTTGCAAACAACATTATGTGCCATTACTGATCAGAAAATTAAGGCACATATCTCTGCCATTTCCACATTATAATAGTGCAGAGGTTTCTTCCTGTTTTTTACATGGCTGCCATGTGATCATTTGCTTATTCGTTAAAAATCATTTAGAATCTTTACCTTTAAATATTCTTGAAAACAAAGCTGTGCTCAGCAACGTGAAAAAAATAAAATCCAACATGTCTTTCATGCTACAGTTTCCCAAAATGTAACTACATATTCTTATATATGTTGTAGCATTAGTTACATAAGTAGAGGATCATTTAGTCTTAAAGAGGTTACAGAAGGAAATTGTTCACAAGAGGCTGTAGGTGGCAGAGCAAATGCAGAGGGGTACACCTACCACAGGTAAATTATGACCACAATAGAAGCCAAATAAACTGCCCTGGAGGGCTTTTCAGTCATACCCTGACTCTGGAGGGGCTTGAACCACATTCTCGAGGAATTCATAAGACTTTCCTACATCTCTTATTAGTGTACTTATATAAACACACAAATCATATACAAGATGTTATTATTCAGTTTACAAATCAAACTTTTAAGGTAGCAGAGAGAGTAAGTTATGCTTGGATACCTATCTGTTAGCCAGTGTTTTCTGGTCATTTCAGACCTTTTCTGAAGTGCTTTGTTTTTAAATATATATTGCAGGTAAAATACTTAATTACTCATTATTAGTTGAGGTAACATACAAGTGTGAAGGGAATAATCCAATAGTTCCCAATTTATTTATTTCACACTGTTCATCCTGCTGTTACATATTTCAGTTTTTGTTTGTACCAGCAATTTTATAGTTCTCATATTTAATTGGAAGTAAGAATTATCCAAAAATACTGATTTCTTTTTGTATTATTCCTTTGAATATATTAGCATTAGATAAGAAAAGCCTCCTTTGAAAATTTAAATGAGTGCTTTAGAAATTATTTTCCGTTCTAGCCAAAATGTTAAAGAGAAAATTAAACTTGGAAAGTATATAGGAAAATGAGAGAAGAAACACCTGCTATACTAAGAGAAAAAATCAGATTGCTTCAATGTGTTGAAGTCTTCCTTAATATGACAGAACTACTTTACCTTTATTACAGTGGTTTACATATTAAGCTAGAGTTTTCAGTCATTATATTAAAGGTTTCAGATAGGTTAGCTACTTTACAGTGAAGAAACCTAATACTTGAATGCAGTAAAAATAAATTAAGACATATTTCTTATTCATTCTCTACTGTATTCCTGCTTTTGTTTTTCTGGAAGCACATTCTGACCCGCATTTATTCATTCTGTTGCCTAAGCAACAACCATCACACTCATATTAAGTATGATTTAGTAGTACAGGTCTTACTAGATGTTCAGAACAGAAGAGAGAACATCACAATGTTATAATTAATGTCCATGGAATAACATACATCTCAGAACAAATATATTCTATATATATATACTACTCTCAACAGCAAAATTCTATTAATTAAATTAGCATTTTAATAAAAAAGTGGTTTTCAGATAAAAAGGTTTCATGGTTAATAATTCATTAGGTCATGGAAATTAACTCTTTGTGTTTAGTCCCCCTTGGGCATTAGGAAAGTTATTCACCAGACTGTGCTTAGGGAGATTTGTTTATCTTACCTGAAGTATGTGGACTTAATAGGAATCAGGTTGTTTCCTAATATAAAATTTACAGTATTCATATTTTTAAATACTTTATCAATATGTGTTTTAAAAATATGTTGAAACAAAATATTAAAAAGTTATTATTATTTCATTAACTGCTTTATTTGTATTTACAGCATGTTTGCACACATAGCAAGTGCAGTTTCTATCTACTATTAGTGTTGTGGAGGAACGACACTTCCCTAATATTTAGTAGGCCCCAGGCAGATTCAATCCCAAGGCCTGGTTCACGTGTGCTTGTAATAGTATCCTACTTGAATATGTATATGAATATGCAGTCATTAACTTTGATAATTTGTTGTGTAATAGGCTGCAGTGTCCTTCAAATGTAAAAATTTGTTGTGACTTTGTGCAGATACTCTATATTTGAAGATGCAGATGATATTGCAGTTTCATAACATGAAGGTTATTTTGCAGGTAAAATAATCCTGAAGTGAAAGAAAAGAATTAGATCAGTCATAAATCACAGTATATAAACTAAATATAAGCTGTAATGAAACCTATGGACAAGCTATAGATTTATGCAGACTTGCAGGCCTGCCTCACTTAGTATGCTGAGGAAAAAAAAAAAAAGTTGAATTACAGAGAAACAGATGTAAATATATAAATGTGCAAGGTCACTAAATGGTTGCATGCAGCCTTCTACAACTCTGAAGCTTCATCAAAGACTCCATTCTGGAGGCACAGAGATAAAAGCAGTTCAATCAAATCACTGCCCAGTGGGGACTAGTTCTGATTAAGGACTGCGTATGACTATTTATAGGTTGTCCTAATAATTTCAGATATTCTGAAATTTTATCATTTAAGATTTCAGTTTGATGAAAGTAATGTCTCTGAAAATTATTTATAAAGCACACTATGACAGAAACAGGGACCACGTAATAAAATGAAGTAACAGAAAAATATGAAGCATTTAATTATATTTTTTGGCATTCTAAAATACTGTTCACTATTAACAGTTAATGTTTCCATTAGATTCTAGACTTTGATTGCTGTTGTTAACAGATATACATCTCTTCCCCTTCAAGTACTTAAGTGGCTTGCTTTGCCTGATGATCCTAAGTATTGCCTAAGTATTTTTTTTAATTCTCTTCTTTTTACTGTGGGGAAACTGAGGATAGAGTGACTGCAGGGTGGAATTTAAAACTGCTTATAAATTTGAGATGAGGCACTAATTCTTAAAATACCTACTAACATAATGCTTAACAGATCAATTTAGTTGCTTAAATATAGGTGTCTAGTACCAATGAAATACTGTAGGGAATCCAGGAGATCTAGACAAGGCTGACATATTACTGAGGACCAGAGACAGCCAGACCCTTCATGATTAGCAGCTGAAGTTCAGGTGGGATATCACTGAGCACCTCAGATGGCTCTATAGTGTGGTGATTAGGCAGCTGAAATGAATCTTAAATTATACAGGTCACACAGAGTTTGTGACATGTCTAAAAACTGAATATAGATGTCTTGAGTTTGCACTTACTATCTTAGTTGCATATACATTTCTTTAACTTCTAATAATTTTCTGTATTTTTATTCATCCTGTGAACTTACCTGCAAAAGTATTTACCTGGCTTCTCAGTGCTAGGCATGGGCTACCATCTCAATTCCCCTTAGCTGACTGTTTTGGCTTTAGATTTTAGTTAGGTTTTGACTTTTCTCCCTTCCTCTCTCTCTTTCTTTCTTTGTTTCTTTTCTTTCATTTTCTACTAGTTCTGGAGTTTTATTAGCTGAAGTTTATCTCGACACTGTCCTCTCTCAGGTGTCATTCCTGGGATTTGCTTTCCTGGAATATACAGGAATTCTTCTTGCCTTTAATCTCTCTGGAGGATCTTAAAATCTGTATTAAGTGTAGGAGGTAGAAGCAATTTTATTTCCTTGGAGTGAAATGCACCTGAAAGAAATTCTCTGTGTGCATTGACCCCAAGTCCTGCACTTGTGGAGATCACATCTTCTGACAAAAATACATGGGGCAGAGATTTATGATTTGGGCATTAGATGAAAGCTAAAAAGGAGTGTGTCAGTCTGCCAACACCTTTCTTAAATTAGCCATGCTGCAGGTGATGAAAAAGAGGACAGTTTTCAACAAGGCTTCTAGTCTGTGGTGACTTTGGTGACTTCAGAAGCCAACTCCTAAAGCGCTTAGGAGAGCTGATCAACCTCTGCAGTATCCAGGCTCTGAGCTCTCCAGGCACATACAGGCTACTGCAGGGACTCATCAGGGCACTCATGCATCATCTGAACCATCGGAAGATTTAGAAAACATTGTCTCTGCATAG